TCAGGCAATCCACTCACCTCAGCCTCCCAAAGGTGCGGGATTACACGCTGAGCCACCGAGCCCGGCTCCATGCAACACCTTTAACAAGCCTGGAGAGGGCAGAATGCAGGGCAAAAGCAAGTAATCTGGATGTGTACCCCAGGAGTACACACCTACTGATGAGGTCAAAGACTTGGACACCCCAAATTTCACAAGCCTGGTTGTAACTTAGGCTGGGAACATGGCCCAGGAGATCCCCGTGTGACTGTGGACGATGCACTCCTGTGGTCACATGTGGATTACTTTTCCCAACAGGGCCAGGCCCCTGACATGCTCTAAATGGTAGAAATCCCCATGCATGGAGGCAGAAGTCAACTGGGAGGTGGATGCAACAGGACTTTAAATTTATCCTGCAGCTGAACCCCTGGGAAAAGTAGTGAGTCCTCCATGTTTGTGCCTGGATATTTGTCTGATGTTGAATCATGAACCAAGCTCTCTCTTGGCTAAACTATTCCTAAGTGTTTGATGCTTTGCAGCAGAGATTATAAGAAGGAATCTTTATCAGCATGTGGATGGTTTGAAGCTGACTATACCTAAGTAGCACCCAGGGGAGGCTTTAAAACATACCCAGGTCAACTGGATCAGAATCTCTAGGGGTGGCCCAGGTGTTGGTATTTAAAAAAAAACTCCCCAGTTGATTCTCAAGTCTATCTAGGATTGCAAATCACTAGATCCCCCTTACTTACAGAAGAGGAAAGTTAGGACCAGAGCCTTAGTCTCATGTGCCCAGTGGCAGAGCTGGCTGACAGCAGGGCCAGCGCTAGGGCCAGGTAGGATAAAGTGAGACACACCTCTCAGTTCAGGGATCCTGCTGCTTCACAACAACATTGCAAATGAGTTCTCCATCACCCCTAGGGAGTGAGGTGGAGGGTCAGACTCACAGGCAGAAGAGAACAACTGTCCCAGAGTGAAGGACAGAGGCAAGTTTGAGGAACCAACCATCAGTCAGAGGTGGGGTGCAGTGAGATGAGCAAAGTTGGCTGACTGCTGGGGCTTAAGTACAGAGAGGGCGGAGAAACAGTAGGGAACAGGTTATGCAAAATCGTGTGGTCCAGGTTAAAACTTTTGGACTTTATCCTGATAGCCCTGGGGAGCCACTGAAGGGTTAAGCAGCTGGGTGTTAAAATGTATTGAACAGTTAACAGATATTTATTGAGTGCTTACTATGTGCCAGCCAGGCACTGAGGTTACAGCAGGGAACAAAAAATGGTTAAATCCCTGCCCTACCAGAGCTTACATCTCATGATGTAACTGAGGAATCCTTTAGAAGCTGAAATAAGATCCAACTATGGGGGTTATCAAACCCTAAAGGTTTCCGGATCTACCTAAACTTTCTCACTCTCTTGCTACCTCAGTGCTCCAGCTGTTCTGGCTTTCCTTCTGTCCCTCAAACACACTTGATCATGTGTTAAAGAGTCAATATGCTCAAGTAACCACCCAAACTCCTTCAATTCCCTTCTGTGAGACCCAGATAATCATGGCCGAGTCCTTGTCTCCAGGCTCAATTCCTGTCACTCCCCACCTCAAAGTCAGCCTCAACCCCACACCCAAACCAAACCCTTCTTTGTACCTCAGATAAAGAGTCATGCTTAATGGCCAGGCGCAGGGGTTCACGCCTATAATCCCGGCACTTTGGAAGGGCCAAGGTGAGAGGATTGTCTGAGCCCACGGGTTTGAGACTAGCCTGGGCAACTTGGCGAGCCCTCATCTCTACAATGAATCAAAAAGTTAGCTGGGTGTGGTAGCACGCACCTGTGGTTCCAGCTTGGAAGGCTGAAGCAGAAGGATCCCTGAGTCCGGCAGGTCAAGACTGCAGTGGCCGGGAGCGTGCCACTGCCCTCCAGCCTGGGTGACAGAGTGAGACTCAAACTCAAAAAAAAAAAATGTCATGCCCTTTCCTGCCCAAGTCCTTTGAAAATGTTGCCCCGCCTAGAACACTATCTCTTTCCCACTTAGCAAACTCCTTTTCCAGCCTGAAGTCTAGGTGAAACCCACCTCCTCTGGCAAATAATGTCCTATTTGTCAGAATGGGTTCACATGCTCTCTCTCTTATACAGCACCAAAGCACCCCATGCTGCACCTTGTAGTTCTCTGCAATTTCAAGTGCTGACTTAATATAATTACTTTTTTAAAACCAGCTTTTCCCAGCAAACAAGGACAGGAGTTGTGTCTGTCTTATTCCCAGAATCTAGCACAGTACTTGGCACAGAATAGACAATAAAAATTGGCTGAGGAAACGAATAAATCAGAAGTACAGAGAAAGTGATGCAAAGATGCTTCCTACATGTCTGCTGAAGGAATGAATGCAAGGAATCTTAGCCACTTATGCTTTCTCTCCATTCTCCTCCCTTTCACTGCTAGAGAGAGAAGTGATTTCTTCATATTTCCTGTATCAACAGCAGTGAGCTGCACATTACCATCAAGTCATGGTATCCAAGGTTTTGCTCCAAAGATTTACAGAAACCAAGAGAAAAGGGAAAGGGAAAGCTGTGTCCGAGAAAATGGTAGTGGAATACGTTATAATAATGATAATCACTCTTTCCCTCTTCTTTAGTTTTAGACATAGGTATACATCCCTAAATAACATAGTTTATTTTCCCAGGTTTTGAGCCTCAAATGAATGGAATCATATCATTTGATATGATATGATTCCCATTTCTTGGGGAGGTGGGATACCCATGTGTTTGTGAGGTTCACTCATGTGATTATAAGCCAATTTGTTTTTTTCCTTTCCTGCTGCCCAGGCTGAAGTGCAATGGCATGCTCACAGCTACTGCAGCCTTGACCTGCTGGGCTCAGGTGATCTTTCCACCTCACCCTTCCAAGTAGCTGGAACCACAAGTACATGCCACCACACCCAGCTAACTTTTGGATTCATTGTAGAGATGAGGGCTCGCCAGGTTGTCCAGGCTGGTCTTGAACCCCTGGACTCAGGCAATCCTTTCGCTTCCACTTCCCAAAGTGCTGGGATCACAGGCATGAGCCACCACACCTGGCAATTTTGTTCATTTTCATTGCTGCTCTAAGGACTGTACAATTCTTTAATGCAGTTTACATCTGACAGCTACTTGGGTTGTTTCCCGTTTGAGACACTTACAAACACTGCTTCTACAAACATTTCCTACAGACACAGGCAGGAAGCCACATCCTCAATCTGACTAATCAAGCCAAACTGTTTCCAAAGTGACTATACCGCTGTGTGCTCCCTCAAGCAGGCCAGTAACATTCATGCTGCCCCACAGCCTTGCCAACACCCGGTACTGTCAGCTTTAAAATTTTTGCTGGACGGGTGCAGTGGCTCACACCTATAATCCCAGTACTTTGGGAGGCCGAGGTGAGAGAACTGCCTGAGCCCATGGGTCTGAGAACAGCTTGGGCAACTTCGCGAGATCTCATCTCTACAACAAATCAAAAACTTAGCTGGTCATGGTGGTACATGCCTGTAGTTCCAGCTACTTGAAAGGCTGAAGTGGAAGGATCACCTGAGCCCAGCAGGTCAAGGTTACAGTGGCTGTGAGCATGCCACTGCAGTCCAGCCTGGGCAACAGAGTGAGACTAAACTAAACTAAAATAAAATAAATAAAATAAAATTTTTGCCAATTTGGTTAAATGGAAATATAATCTCATTGTGTGTGTGTGTGTGTTTAACTCCCCAAGAAGAAAAAGCATGAAAGGCCCAGTAACAGGCTAAGGAATACTACAGCAGACCAGATATCTTTTGGAGGAGGAAAAGGGAAGAGCCCATCCAGTTCCATTCCGCCTTCCTTTGGTAACTTAATTCAACATCAATGAGTTAGTGAGATTAAAA